CCATTTGGGGGAAACCAGGATTTGAGCCCATTCGTAAGAGACTGCCAGGTGGGCAAAAGGCAGTAGACGCCAGAGGATTGATAGGAGTCCCGCCTAAAGGAGACAAGAGAGTTGGCCTAACGAGGCCTGAGTGCAGAGCCAGCTGTTGTGCTTGGCAGGGTGAATAGACACCAGCCGGGGGAGCCGCTTGATTCCCAGGATGGATTGAATTCGACCCCCGACCACAACAGTCGGTTTCAGAAGAAACAGTGGCGACAGTCACAGATGTTGAGGAATGTGGCTCCTGATGAAGAGAGAGGCTCCCGAGGCGAGGCTGAGCTGATGAAAGAAGCCCGGGGGCAGAGGATATGGACGTGGAGCCCATTTCTGCTTGCAGATCATTAATGACAGATCTGCCAGAGCAAGGATCGACTGCGACCGAAGTGAATGCAGATGGCTCATGGTTGCGTTGTTCTGATCCACTAATGTGCAGGTGCTTTGTATGAACCATCTGGACCGACAGTTGACGATGCTGGTGGAGAACTGGGCTGGAGCATCCGGCTGGTCGGAATTCGACACCTCGAGAAACCTGCAGATCCAGGCTTGGAGGCAATGACAGCGAGAGTGGCGGAGGAGGAGGAAGAATTGGAGGAGATTGGGGAGGAGGTGGTGAACAGGTAGGAAGGGGAGGGGGGTGTATGAGTGAGAGTGGCCCGAAGGAGGATGGCATCTTTAGTGATGGTGGCCCCAGATGCCCATGATGCTCTGCTAGTGCGGAAAGGGCACTCGATGGCGATGGGGGTAGGTGGCCAGGAATGTCTCTTTCAAGCGGGCAGACGGTCGGCATGTCTGGAGGAAGAGGAAAGGTGAGGCCTCTAGAGATGATTCTGGTCTCGACAAGTGGTGGTGAAGAGAATCTAAGCGAAGCGGAAGAGGCAGCTGGGGGTCGGGGGGGGGAAACTGGAAGGGGGTATTTCGGAGTAAAGGTAAGTTGGCTATAGTCTGGCAGGAGGAATTATTGCTTAAGCTGTAACTACAAAGCAATGAGGTATAAAGGGCAAGAACCTTTTGTGTGGTCGCAGTCTCCTTTCGTTGTATAGAGGTTGTTTGACCTTGTTTTCGCAACATGGCCATATTGGTAGGAAGACTTATTGGAACGCACCTAGTCCGGGGTCCATTGTCTGCATGATCATTTCCAAATTTGAATCGTAGACGTGGTG